GGTTTAGGGTTTAGGGTGGGGCCAAGCTGTTCAGGAACCCAGTGGGAAATGGCATGTGCTTGTTGATGTTGGGTCTGTTATATGATACTATAGGAACCCCAAAACAAAAATCTAAAGTAGTTATACTATAGCAGGAACCCAGACTTGCGGAAATCGATGGCGAAGGCCGGTGACTGCAGCTTATCTGCCAGGAACAAACTGTCGTCCCCTTCCACTATAACGACTCCGTCGTCACTGAGCGGATCAATCTCGGCCATGGTCAGCACCACAGTGGCAGCTGCTATCATGGCAAGATGCACAGCTTCGTTGGAGCCCGAATTATCTGAGTCGCCCGAGTAGTGTAAGTACACCAAGCGGGTACGCAAGTGGCGGGCGGACATCGACTTGGCCCGATAGCGCTCACCCGTGACCTTCATGTACTCGGGGGGAAAAGATGATCCGTTCCAGTTCCTGAGCGGAAACCGCGCACAGCCGGACCCACGAAGCATCCCAGGCACTAACATCTCCCCCATAGCCAACTTTCACACCAAATTCCTCCGCGTATCGTTCGATCCGGGCGGCCCGTTCCTGTGGGCTCTGACCCTTGATCTTTGGTCTCAACGGGCTGTAGGTTGACTATCTGCGATGCTATTGCTGCTTACTTCGGCCCCTGAATTCCTTCAGAGACCGAAGCAACTGCAAAGGCAATCCGGTACTTAGAGGGAGGAGCACACACCAGGAATAGGTAATTAGCCTGGACCCTTGCCACGGGGGGAGCCTACTCTTGGGGTCCGAGTGTTCAGACCTCTATAAGAGGATCCTTTTAGTTCAAGGTCTATTTAGGGTTTAGGGTTTAGGGCTATGTAGTCCTTAACGTCAGGCTGGTGAGTCTTTGAGTTTGTCCCTTATGAAGAGAACCCTGCTGGAATCGAGGCTATATTTGCTAATCATGAGCCATTGGAGGTTATGCATGAGTTTGCAGAGGATTCTGTGTGAATCGAGACTGGGACTCTCTGTGGTTTGGGTTTAGGGTTTAGGGTTTAGGGTTTAGGGTTTAGGGTTTAGGGTTTAGGGTTTAGGGGTGGCCATTCAGCCTAGCGCTGGCAAAGCGACATCGAAGAACTTTCGTTTATAGGAACCGGCAAAATGAGGGACTTTCCAAATAACTAGCATGGGACACTTTGTGCAGTGCTCCTGTACATCGACGGTACGGTTGATATTGGTGCTCTTCAACCCAAGCAATCCTGAATCCTAGACCCCAACGTAGGGTAAGGCTCCTTACTCTTGCGATGTTTGAACTTCCGAAGGCCCCTTTAAATTAAGGGAGATTCGGGATAAGAGCCGTAAACCCTCAACCCTACATCCCTATACCCTAAACCCTGAACCCTAAACCGTGAACCCTATACCCTGAACCCTAAACCCTAAACCCTAAATCCTAAACCCCTAAACCCTAAACCCTGAACCCCTAAACCCTAAACCCTGAACCCCTAGAAGTGGGAAGGGCCCCTGGCTCAGAGGGACCTACAGGAAGCAATACCAAATCGGTCCCTGCTTTCCGGGCTTCGGGTTTCGGAGGTTTAGGGTAGCCCTAAACCACAAAAAAAAACCCTTAAACCCTAAACCCGAAATCCGGAAACCCTAAATAAAAGCAAACCTGGTAGAAGATATCGGGCCCGGTTGTGGATCCGAATTGGTTTGTCTTCGTACCACCTGACGGCTTGAGGAAGCGCTTCGATGTTTCAGGGTCCGGGTTTAGGGTTTAGGGTTTGGGGTTTGGGGCTTGGCTAGGGTTTAGGATTTAGGGGGTTTAGGAGTTAGGGCTTAGCGTTTAGAGTTTAGTTTAGGGTTTAGACGTTAGAGTTTCGGGTTCAGGGGGTGCAGGGTTTTATGCAAGGAGTCACTGTGGACGATCCGGGCCGAAGGATGTGGGCTTCGGGGCTTTGGGCGTTTTAGGGGTTAGGCTTAGGCAAGCCTAAACCCTATATAAACCCCTAAATCCCCTAACCCTACACCCTCTAGACCCTAACCCCCCTATATAAACCCCTAAAGCCCCAAAGCCCTAAACCCCTTGCGTAACTCCTGGGGGGTCTCGGAAGTTCGTGTATTGAAGCTCGGATACGACGCAGAGGGCCCTTGGGCCGTTTCGCCTATTGGGTTCGAGTGGCCTTTTGTTTAAACGCCTTTTTCGGTCTGCCTATAGGGTTCTAGTGACTTAAGGTTTAGGGTTTGGAGTTTTTTAGTTTAGGGTTTGAAATTTAGGGTTGAGGTTTCAGGGTCTAGGGGTATTCTAGCGCAAGCCACTACTGAATATTCGGATTCCGATACCAACACCATCCGTACCAAGAAACCCTACTACCACCATCAACCCTAAACCGTAAACCCTAAACCCTAAACACTAAACCCTAAACCCTAAACCCTACCACCATCAACTCCGAGACTCATACTGAAAGTTGAGTCTGATGGTGCACCCCTTTAGTGTCCTTTTCATAAGGGCGCTAGGGTTTGGGGTTTAGGGCTTAGGGTTTAGGCCGCCTTCGTGTCCGAAACAAGGGACCCTAATTTAGAGAACTACCCATGTAGGGTTCAAGATGCGGGTTTAGAGCAGTCAGGGTCGAGGGAGTGTCAGGCTCTTACCGAAAATGGGGGGGGGCCTAAATAACTACTAATGCTATGCCGCGTTGCTTTCCATCATCATAAGTACACTCATACTGGAATATGCCCCAAAGTCCCGAACCCGGGAATAGTTTTGGGGTATATCAATATTAACCTTCTAGTGTTAAGGACCCCGAGTCAAGGCTATGATTACGAATTATCCAGGTGTACAGTGGCATATGGGTACTTCTCTAAATTGGTGTCCCTTCTGTGTCCCCAATATGGTACGACACCCTTATAAAAAAGGACCCTAAAGGGTACCCTAATTTAGAGAACTACCCATATAGATCCCTTA